TCCTGTAAAATTAAGAGACTTTGTTGAATTTTGATTTTGCGTTTGTAAATTCTGTACATTTAATTAAGTTATTGTTAATTGTTTATTGGTTTAATGTAAGTGGCTATTGTTCGGGACGAACAATATTAAGGTAGGGGCAGTGTTACGACAGCGGAGGTCACGTGACGCTAGTAACACGTCATGCGCTTCTAGAACGTTCATGAAACTTAGAGAGGTTACTAGATATGCGGTATTCTTGTATATAAGCCGCCAAGAACTGACTGCAACAATGTGTAATTGAACTGCGGACAGAGAGAGACGTATTGTTGAGGAGCACATGAGACGTTCGTTGTGAATTATAGCGTTTGTTATAGCGCGACTGTGGAAATTAAGTGTATTGCAAAGTTGTATTCAGAAAGAATAAACCAGTTTTATTTAAGAAAGGACTTGTATCGCTAATGTTTTTTCGGAAAGAATTTTTACGGAAAATTAACTAACGACCAGAGACGTAACAAGACGTTTAACTAGTTTAAATATATATATATGTATTATTTTTAAAAGAAGTGAAGTGTGTGTGCTGTTCGTTTATTCTTGAATTTATCGCCAACAAGTCACAGATACTTGCTGTAGAAGAAACCTTAGCCCAATGATGTTATTATTCAACCTGTGTGCTAAAATACTACTAATATATATAATATTAAGAAGATGAATCTCATTAATGTTGACAATGTTGAACTACATTTGGACGCGTATTTATACTCCAACAGAGGTCTAGCACATTCAATTCCCTTCTTGATATTATGTTGCAATAATACTCAATTGAAACAACGAGAAAAACTCCGAAGGTTCTAGTAACATAACGCAATTCATAACTAGTGAAGGACACAATGTATGAATCCTAAACAGTTATGTAAACAAACTTGGGATAAACTATTGGTTCTAAAAATAACTAAATTTAATACCCACCCTATATAACTATCTAAATCATGACTCTTGCACTAAACTTAAATGGAAACAGTCGTGTATGTCTAACATTGCTGCTTGTCAGTGGTCCAGAGCTAGAGAAGAATGTGTAAAGCTACCTGTACTGTGCTGTGACAAATTTGTGGCAAAGGGACTCTACAATTGGAGGGAGGAGAGCCTGTGCTAAACTTTTCTAAAATATAAATAAATAGAGAAAAGTAATAGAGTAGGTCGAACTTCCATATCTGATTAAATATAGATGATTCCACACTTAAAGTAAAATAATTAGTAAAATTAAAAGCTAGAGTTTTAATTAAAGAATGAGAACTAAGAAACATGAGAACTGAAAAATTGGAAGAGTAGACGAAAGTAAAGAATTTAATGTGAGGTCATTTACTTGGGAGAACTTTAGGATAGTTCACGTCATTTCTGATCACCTTTAGGGTTATATTCTCAAACGACAGTATTATTGGAACATCGTGAATTACGTAGAAGAATGTGAGTCGATTGGAAAATTCAAACAGTATAGATCTATATGAAATATTATTGCTATTTCAAAAGAAAGCAAAGTCGTAGAGGAAGATTGGTGGTAAGCCGATGAAAAGTGCTGATGAACAAACCTTTGTAACATAAGAGAATAAAATTAACTATAATAATCGCACATTACGGCTCGCATGGGAGGCAGCATTCTCAAACAATAATGCAATTTAATAAAACTCGAACATCAATGTTGTTCATACTCTATGTAAGTTGCAAATCATAGGGACAACTTTTCGTGAAGATCACTATGCACTAAATAAGGTTATCGATAAGTAATACATAACATGGGATATTTTACAGCCTTTTGTAAATAAATTCACAAAATGTTTAAACTTATGGCCAACAACAAGTTAGATGGTCATAAAGAAGGACATCAAACTACACAAAACACAAATTGGTTAAATTACCAGACATTGAATAATTGATCAATCAAATGTAAGGTCAACTTTCCACGTAAAAATGAAGTGTTTGGTTATGAAAAAATACAACAGATTATGTCAGAAATTAGCCCCCCCCAGTAGCTCAAAGGTAAATCAGTGGATTTATAACGCTAAAATTTCGATTTCGATATCCCAGGTGGGCCGAGCATAAATAGCCCACCTCTGGGATATTCACTTTCTTCTTTTGAAAGCTCTCCAGTGTGATTTTTACCTTATTCTTTGGGTCATTGTCCTGCTGAAATGTGAATTTTCGACCTAGATTTAGATTCTTGGCTAACTCAAGCGGGTTTTCCTCTAGAATTCGCCTGTATTTTGCAATATCCATTTTCTCCTTAATCCTGACAAGCTTCCCAGTCGCCGTTGATAAGAAGCATCCCCATAACATAATTCTGCCACCACCATGTTTGACAGTTGATATGGTGTTTGCTGGATGATGTGCTGTGTTAGGCTTGCACCAGATGTAACGCTTTGAATTTAGATTAAAAAGCTCAATTTTTGTTTCGTCTGATTACAAAACACTCTGCGACGTGTCTGAAGTATCATTTGCATGCTTCGTCGCAAACTCCATACGAGATCTAAGATGATTCTTTTTCAGTAATGGCTTGTTTCTTGCCACTCGCCCATACAGGCCAGATGTATGTAGGGACCAGGATATTGTCGATGTATAAACACTGACTCCTATCTCAGACATGGAGCTTTGCATATCTTTCAAAGTCACTGTTGGTTTCACAGTGGCATCCCTATTCAGTTTCCTGCTTGCCGACTTCTTAGTTTGGAAGTTTGCTCTGGGTAATGACAGGGTGGTATGAATCACATTCCACTTCTTAATGGTGGACTTCACCGTACTCAAAGGGATTAATCAGCTACTTTGAAATTTTCTTGTAAACTTCTTCTGATCTGTGCTTCTCTATCACTTTATCCCTAACTTGTTTGGAAAACTCCTTGGTCTTCATGGTTGGTTTGCCATATCATTATGAGAGTTGTGGCTTGAACAGATGCATTTACTCTAAAGTTATGTTAAACCACTTTGATTACACACAGAAAGAGACCATTAAACTAATTTCGTGATTTTTCAAACTAACCTTTTGCACCTGAACTGAGTTAGGGTTGCAGTAGCAAAGGGATTGAATACTTATTTTTGAAAGCCACTGTATACGACAGGAATTCTGACGAGACGCTAACTTCGAACACAGATTTATTAATTAAGACTAAATCTGCAAGACAATGTGAGACAAAAACTGGATGGCGGTATTAATACTGTCACCCGGAGGGACAGCGGTAGGTCTTAGGGTTTACAACGTTAAAATCAGAGGTTCGATTCCCTTCTGTGGACACAGCAAATAGCCCGATGTGGCTTTGCTATAAGAAAATTAGCACAGCATTCATACCATTCAATATTTTGAGGATAATAAGTTTTTAATTAGCTTTATTGTAAACATTTAGCCAGTTAAATTCGTAATCAAAAGAAACAAATGTACATTTTTATATAGTTTATAAGAAAAGGTTTTTGTCGCACAATTTAGGTTTTAATTATACTTAGTTCTCTACACAGACTTGAGTTTCTTATGAAAGACAATAACTTCATTTTGTTAGGAATTAAGATGATACAACATTTGGAACACCATTTCAGTAAATCATTCAAAGGCAGTTCAATATGTTTCACAGTCAATAAAGGACTTTTGGATGTGTTCCAGATGAAAACCTGTGAAGTAAATCTGATTGATTGTTTGTTTGTTTTAAGAACAAAGCTACACAACAGGCTCTCTGTGCTCTACCTATAGTGGGTATCGAAACCAGATTTTTAGCGTACCCCCAGAATTTTTGCAGCTAGAGAATGGGGAATGAGGGCCTTGAAATTCAGAGTTCAGCACCCTAACCACTGGACCACGCCTGGTCTAGATCTGAATAAGGGATATAAATACTGTCTGAACTTAAGACATATATAAAGTACGAGGTCTAACGAAAGCACCCTAGAAGAGAGATAGAAAACATTTGAAAATAAAGTTTAAATTTCACTTGGGTAGTACAATCTGGTCTGAAGCTGAGAAATAATGGTTTTACAAGTAACCAAATAAAAACATAAACAAAACCTTAAAACAACTTTTAGCTAAATATAATAAAAGCATACTATATGGTAAGTTAATCTGTAATTCTTATTAGACATCTATATTGTTCTGCAATGACTTTCTCTGTCTTGCTTCTAGAAGATTATTTCGTACGTATCGTATTATTTTAACCCTAAAATTACTGATAGGACTCATATTATATGGATCCTTTCGACAAGTTTTCTATACTGTTTATGTAACAAACTGCTTGTGGGTCTATGACTTTGTTAAAACATAGTTCAACCCATTGAGTTAGTGTCACTAATAATATGTGAGCCACAAAAAATTAGCAAAACAACCAACAACATTGCAGTTAAAACCATTAATTACAGCTTAGACCCATAATATGTTATACATAGTGAGTGATTTCAACCAAACGTTTTTGTCAATTCTTTACACCGAGTATTATAAAAAATAAAAATAAATACTCAATACCATGCAATTTGTACATTCTATCGGTTGTTGACAAACCAATAATTTGAGGGTTAATAAAAAATTGAATATCCTAAGTTTTCGAGTTTGCTTACACTTTAAATTTTTCCAGCACTAACTCTACTTATGTCTCGCACTTTCAGTTAAATTTCTACCCTTGATTTTCAACAAAGTTTAGAATAACCTTTAATTATCTTAAATATATAAAATAAGATCACGTCATCCTAGGCTTTAGCTTACTTGTGCTTTGACTTTATTATACATATAGAAATTATATACTCACAATATTTTGTGACCCCGGTAGGTCAACGGTATAAATATTGAATTGCAACGCTAAATTCTGGAGGCGATTCCTTGAAGTGGCCAAAACGCAAACAAAGCCCATTGATTAATTTGTGGAAGAAAATTTATTTTTTTTTCTCATAAACATATAGAAATACATGTATGCATTTAGTTACTTAAGAAAATAACTGTCCCTATACCTATCAAATATACACAAGCCCTCCAGGATTACTATTATTAAAAATAAATGTAACATATACCGCACTCTTTAGGCTGAATTGTGTATTATACTATACTTATACTTTTTTGCGGTTTTATTGAGTTTAAACTAAAATCATATTAATTTCATACAGTATAAGTTTCTCTCATGGAAAATACGCCGGTGTTTTTTAACGGAGAAACAACGGATGTGTGTATTATGAACTTCTTTTCAATTTTTAGCAGTTACATGTTTTCTTTCACTGAATATCTGGTTACTGTTCACTATTGGGTGTTAGGCTTAGTATTGTTTTCTTTCACTAAGGTTTTAGCATTAGTTTACTATTAGCCTAAAGTAGTAAGATTAGTTAGTAATATTACTACTACTAGTGATCGAATGATGACATAAATTCTTTTTTTATCATAATTAGGCCTTATGAGTAGGATTGCATGTTCGTAACTAAACCAACACTGGCTTGTTCTTATCATAACTCAAAAATACTCAAATGGTCTGAATAAACTGTTTGTTGTAACTTTTATACATATGTGTATGTGAAGGATTAGGGTTTGTTTTTATGCCAAAAAATGTTATATTTTCAAATAAGATATAAGAAGCCTACACATAACCATCATAACATGGCATGTTCTGTCAATTGTATTACAAAATGTAACATTTATGAAGCCTTGTTTCCAGATGAAAATTTAACAATTATATAAAGCAACAATAAACAGAAAAAACATGAGAATAAGAATTACAAAAAAACAGGTTTAATTGATAACAGGACTGTAGATGAAGTGTAAGTAGGTATTTTT